TGACTTTGCCGTGACGTCAGCTTTCCGGATTGGTCAAGTTTGTTCGATTCCGAGAAGATTTGATTTGCGGTCAACTGTCCGGGCCAGCCAGATCTACATAAATTTTAAGCAGTAAGTTTTCTTCATCAAACCTTTAGATCCGCTGCGCATAGGTTTATGTTGAATGTTTGTCTGTGATTTGTGCATATCGAGATCCTCGTGGGTTCCAACAGTAACAGCTTTAGCAGTAAGAAGGGAAATTTACAGCACAAAAGTAAAGCGAACTCACCCTTGCATGGAAAAGGCACGAGCTCTGCATGTGATGACCACCTTGTCTTTTTGCATGAACATGGTACAAGTGACAGCTGCACTACTACTCCAAAATCAACCGCAGGATCATCTCTTGGGCTTCAATATGATCATGACAAGTGTTCCTCTTTCATTGGAAGTATCACTTAATATAAATACCCCATAGCTGCTAGGTTTAATACGATCGATTCATTCTGTGTAAATCTGCGCCGCAACATAGATCTAATAGATGATATGAAGAAAGTTTGGAGTTCATCATCTTTTCTTTTCCTTTCATATTTCTGTTTGCCATGATTTTCAACATGGTATCAGAGCAGGTTTATACCTGACTCTGATCCTTTTCTTTTCATTCCTTTTTTTTTTAAAACAAAAAATGTCAGAAAGCAGCTCCACCATGAATCCATCACACACCAGCTCACTGCAGCTCATCTCACCCAACAACCAATTGGTGACTGTAAAGCTGGATGATGGGAACTTCCTCATCTGGAAACAACAAGTGGAAATGGCCATCAAGGGCTACGGGCTAGAAGGCTTCATTGATGGAACAAGTCAACAACCTCCAAGATACCTGACTACAGATCCAAATGAACCCATCACACAGAATCCTGACTACATCACTTGGCAAAGGCAAGATCATCTCTTAGCCTCATGGATTCTATCTTCTTTGGGTCACAGTATTCTTCCCTTGATGGTTGGTTTGGGTTCATCCAAAGAAATTTGGTCTGCACTGCAAAAGAACTTCAGTAGTCAGTCCTTAGCAAGAGTCATGCAATATAAGATGGAAATCCAGGGCCTTAAGAAAGGATCCTTGACCATGAAAGAGTATATAAGCAAGATGAAGGCTTTGTTTGATGCCTTAGCTGCAGCAGGACATGTGGTGACAGAAAAGGATCAGATCATGCATCTAATCAGTGGTCTTGGGCAAGAATACAATCCTATCATGGTAACTGTGTCTTCAAGAATTGAACCTTGGTCCATGGTTGATCTTCAAGCCTTACTCCTCAGCTTTGAGTCAAGATTAGAATCTATGGGCCTCAACACACCTCAAGTGAACAATGATGGCTCATATCCCATGGCCAATGCAGTAATGGCTCAAAACTTCCCAAGAGGTGGACAATCAAATAGAGGTGGAAGAGCTCCCTTCAACCAAAGCTTCAGAGGAAGGGGAGCAAGAGGTCCATATAGAGGAAAAGGAGGAAGATTCTCTAGAGGAAAAATTCAGTGCCAAGTTTGTGGAGTAGGAGGTCACACTGCAGAAAGGTGTTGGTACAGGTATGACAGTGGCTACATGGGCAGTGCTCCAGATAACTCCACAAGAGGCTTTAATAGTCCTTCAGCCAACATAGTAACTCAACACTTCACTCCATCAGAGGCTTCAAATGAAACAAACCAATGGTATCCTGATAGTGGTGCAACAAACCATGTTACCAATGATTTCAGCAACTTGAGCATTGCCATTGAATATGGAGGAGGCATAAAACTTCATATGGGAAATGGTTCAGGAGAAAACATCTCTCACATAGGTAAATCCCATCTAAAAACCTATCATTCCAACAGAATCTTTATCTTAAAAGATCTCCTACATGTTCCTAGTGTCACCAAAAATCTGTTGAGTGTATCTAAGTTTGCCTTAGATAATAATGTATACTTTGAATTTCATCCCTTTCATTGTTGTGTGAAGGACCAAGTAACTCAGGAGGTTCTACTCCAAGGGGATCTTAATCAAGGACTTTACAAGTTTCAGCTTTCAAATTCAGCCCCACATCACTCAAAAGCCAGCAATCAACTTCAACCTTTTCCTTCAGTTTTCTTTACTAGTTTTAAGAATCAGTCCACCTTAGATTTGTGGCACAAAAGGCTTGGACATTGTAATCTTGACATTGTCAAGAAAGTTCTGAAGTCTTGTAACCAACCTTTTGAAAATAATGAAGTGAATGGTTTATGCTCTATTTGTGTTGTGTCAAAAATTCATAGATTGCCTTTTACTGATTCAGAAACCCAATATAATGCTCCACTTGAATTGATTCACTCAGACTTATGGGGTCCTTCTCCTATAAAGTCCAGAAATGGTCATGTTTATTATGTTATTTTTGTGGATCAGTATACTAAATTTTCTTGGATTTATTTTTTGAAACTCAAGTCTGAAGTTCATGATGTCTTCCTTCCTTTCAAAAAAAAATGTCTGAAACACAGTTAGGACATAAAATCAAAATTCTTCAGAGTGATTGGGGAGGTGAATATAGATCTCTTACACCCTTCTTGCAAGCCAATGGCATTATTCATAGGATTTCATGTCCTCACACACCCCAGCAAAATGGAACAACTGAGAAGAAACATAGACACCTCACTGAAATGGGACTTTCCTTGCTTTTTTTTTTGGGTTTTGTCCATGTCATTATGGACTTTTTTTTTTTAATATAAACATCCCAGAAAGGGATGGGGGGTTGAGGCTACACCCCCGACCTGTGAATGTAATGACCCAAATAGGGCTAAAAGATCAGTAGTCTACATCCATGTCGAAAGTACATAGAGCAACATCAAAAGCAGGGAAAAAACGAAAGAATAAAAATACAAGGGGTCCAAAGTGTCAAAACTAGTCAGGGGCAGGTGGTGGCGGTCGACCGAATCTGAAGGATGGGTACTCTAACTGGTCCATCCGA